GCCACAGAGCAACTAAGCCACAACTACTGAACCTGCGCCCTAGAGCCTGTGAGCCACAACTACTGAGCCCATGCGCCACAACAATTGAAGCACACATGCCTAGAGCCCGTGGTCTGCAACAAGAGAAGCCACCGCAATGAGAAGCCCATGCACCACAATGAAGAGAAGCCCCCGCTCGCCACAACTAGAGAAAGCCCATGCAGCAACAAATACCCAACACAGCCAAAAATAAATAAATAAAATAAATTTAAAAAAACATTTGTGTAAGATATGAGATGGGGCCAAGCCTCATTCTTTTCTTCCAGTTGTTTTAGTACTATCCGGTGAAAGTCTACCCTTTCTCCATTGAATTACCTTGACACCTGTGGAAAACCAATTGACCATCTCTGTGTGGGTCTGTTTCTGAACTGGCTGTACTGGTCCATTGATCTGTGTCTGAACTTTCACCCATCTCACACTTCAAATCAGGTACTGTGAGCCTTCTGTGTTCTTTTTCAAAATCACCTTAGCTATTCTAATTGCTTTGACTTTGGCTGTAGCTTTTAGGATCAGCTTGTCTCCATCTACAAAAAAAATCCAAGGGGAGTTTGATGGGGATTATGTTAAATCTATAGATCAATCTGGGGAGAATTGACATCTTAACAGTAAAATTTTCCAATCTGTGAACATGGTATATCTCTCCATTTATGTAGGTCTTCATTGATTTCCTTCACCAGTCTTTTGTATTTTCATCATACGGAGGCTACATATATTTTTTAGATTTATACCTAATTATTTCATTTTTCAGATGCTATCATAAATAACAGTGTTTTTTTGTTTTTCTTAAATAAATTTATTTTATTTATTTTTATTTTTGGCGGCTGTGTTGAGTCTTCGTTGCTGCGTGCAGGCTTTCTCTAGTTGCAGCAAGCAGGGGCTACTCTTCCTTGCGGTGCATGGGCTTCTCATTGCGGTGGCTTCTCTTGTTGTGGAGCACGGGCTCTAGGCGCGTGGGCTTCAGTAGTTGTAGCACGTGGGCTCAGCAGTTGTGGCACACGGGCTTCAGTAGCACGTGGGCTCAGCAGTTGTGGCACACGGACTCTAGAGCGCAGGTTCAGTAGTTGTAGTGGTGCGTGGGCTTAGTTGCTCCGCGGCATGTGGGATCTTCCCGGACCAGGGATTGAACCCGTGTCCCCTGAATTGGTAGGTGGATTCTTAACCACTGCACCGCCAGGGAAGCCCTATCATAAATAATAGCTTTTTAAATGTCAATTTCCAATTGTTTATCACCAGTATACGAAAATACAGTTCATGATATAATTTACTCTGTAGCCTGTGTTCTTGCTAAACTCATTTATTAGTTTTAGGGTTTTGTGTAGATCCCATGTGATTTTCTACATAGACAATCATGCCCTCTGTGAATAGAAAGTTTTATTTCCTCCTTTCCAATGTGTTTGCCTTTTGATTTTTTCTTGTTTTATCTTGTGGATGGAGCTTCCAGGACAATGCTAAACAGAAGTGATGAGCGTGGACAACCTGGCCTTGTTCCCAATCTTAGGGGGAAAACATCCAGTCCTTTGCCATTAAGTATGGTGTTAGCCATGAGATTTTCGTAGATACCCTTTACTAGGTGGAAGAAATTGTCATATTTCTAGTTTGCTGAGTTTTAAAAAAAAAAATCAAGAATGAATGCTGAATTTTCTCTCTTGCTATTTCTGTGTAAAATGATAATGTGATTCTTTCTCCTTTAGTGTATTAATATGATGAATTGCACTGATTGATTTTCAGATGTTGAACCAGCCTTCCTTCCCCAGGAAAAACTCCACTTATTGTTATGTATTACTTTTTGTATATTGCTGGATTTGTTTCGCTAATTTTATTTTTTTTTAATTAATTAATTTATTTTTATATTTTGGCTGCGCTGGGTCTTTGTTGCTGTGTGCGGGCTTTCTCTAGTTGCAGAAAGCAGGGGTTACTCTTCGTTGTGGTGCGCGGGCTTCTCATTGCGGTGGCTTCTCTTGTTGCGGAGCACAGGCTCTAGGTGTGCAGGCTTCAGTAGTTGTAGCTTGCGGGCTCTAGAGCGTAGGCTCAGTAGCTGCGGCACACGGGCTTCACTGCTCCGCGGCATGTGGGATCCTGCTCTGTGGACCAGGGCTCGAACCCATGTCCCCTGCATTGGCAGGTGGATCCTTAATCACTGCGCTACCAGGGAAGCCCTGTTTTGCCAATATTTTGTTGAGGATTTTTTTTTTAATCTATGTTGATGAAGGAGATTGGTCTGTAGTTCTCTAGACCAAGCGTACATGGAACATTCACCAAGATAAACTATATTCTGGGCCACTAAACAAACTTTAACAAAAGTTTGAAATCTTTAACAATATAATGGAAGTCTCACAAAACATGTTCTCTTATATCAGAGTTAAAGTAGTAATAACAAAAAACACATTTTAAAATAATCCATCAGACAAAAAGGAAGTCTTATGGGAAATTAGAAAATATTTTGAACTGAATAAAAATAAAATGTTTCAAAATTCATGGGATGCAGCTTAAAGCAGTGTCTAGAGGAAAACGTGCGGGATTCCATGCTCCCAATGCAAGGGGCCCAAGTTTGATCCCTGGTCAGGGAATTAGATCCTGCCTGCCGCAACTAAAAGAGCCCACATGCCTCAACCAAAGATTCCGCATGCCACAACTAAATATCCCACAGAGGCCCGCGTACCGCAAACAAAAAAAAAAAAAAAAAAAAAAAAAAAAAGATCCCACATGCCACAACTAAGACCTGGTGCAGCCAAATAAATATTTTTAAAACGTTTATATTAGAAAAGAATAAAGTTCTCAAATCAATAATCTAAGCTTTAAAAAACTAGAGAAAGAAAAAAACCCAGAACGAATGAAATAATAAAGAGCAAAAATCAATGAAATACAAAACATAAAACTAGTAGATAGAATTAAACCAAGTTAGTTCTTCGAAAAGGTCAGTAATATTAATAAACCTCTAATCAGACTAACCAAGAAAGGTGAAAAATGATCAGTAACAGAAATGACAGGTGGGACTCTATAGAAATTGAAAGAATAATGAAAAGTAGGCTAGAAAAACTCTATAGCTGGGGCTCCCCTGGTGGTGCAGTGGTTAAGAATCCGCCTGCCAACGCAGGGGACACAGGTTTGAGCCCTGGTCCAGGAGGATCCCATATGCCACGGAGCAGCTAAGCCTGTGCGCCACAACTACCGAGCCTGCGCTCTAGAGCCCACGAGCCACAACTACCGAGCTCACATGCCACAACTACTGAAGCCTGCACGCCTGCAGCCGGTGCTCCACGAGAGGCCACTGCAGTGACAGGCCCACGCGCCGCAACAAGGAGTGGCCCCCGCCCACTGCAACTGGGGAAAGCCCGCATGCAGCAACGAAGACCAACGCAGCCAAAAATAAATTTTAAAAAAATTACTTAAGCTCGCCTATGAAGAAATAGATAACCCAAATCATCCTAAATCTACTTAAGAAATTGAACTTCATAGTTAAAAACCTTGCAAGTTAGAAAATTACAGGACAAGATAGTTCCAGTAGGGAGTCTTACCAAACATTTAAGGAATACCTGTCCCTGCTTTTAGAAGTCTCTCTGTGTGCCCCTTAGGGCCATCTCCACACACACACACACACACACACACACACACACACAGATGGAAAATTTTTAAAAAAGCAAACAGTGCAGCTTTGTGTGAACAGCAGTGTTTATGTAGGAGGTGTGACCCCAGGTCAACCCCAGTTCTTCTAAGAGGGACCACAGTCATTGCTCTGAGGTGGCTGTACAGTCTGCAGGCAGTGGTCATGGCAGGGGGGAGCTGACATGGGTCACACAGGGACCCAGTGCTAGAAAGGGCCCCATCCTGCTGGACGAGAAGGTGTGACGCTGCTTAGGACACCCCCCCTACCCCCGCTGAGAGAGGGATCTGAGCTCAAAGACCCAAGCAGTGATTCCAAATCCACCCAAAAATCCTTGTTTCTGAGGGCCAGGCAGGCAGGGGTTTCCCCAGGGGACCCCAAAGTCAGCACTTGTAAGGCCCTGTGCCTGCCTGCTGCTATAGGAATTCAAATCCAAATGGCCAGTCTCTGGCCAAGGAGACAGTGGGGGCAGTGGGGAATGACTGAGGTGGCCCTGCGGTCCTCCTCTCAGGCCTGTCGTCTGGAAACAGCAGAAGCTTGGTTGGGGGCTGGGCCTGGGCTCAGCCTGCAGATGGGGCCTGTCTGTCTCCCCCCGGTGCCCCTCTCTGTGTGCCCGTGAGGACCCTGGGGACTGAGGACAGTTCCAAGGCGCGTCTGGTCTCTGAGCTCGGTCAGCAGGCCTTCCCTCCCACACCCTCCAGGCAGGCCACGCCATACCACCCACCCCACTGTCCTCCCTTAGGATCCCTTTGGCAACTGGGGAAAGCGGGTGGTGTGCTCATGCGGCCAGATCAGATGGCTGTGAGGTGGGGGACCCGACAGCCCAGGGCCCGCCGGCTGCCAGTCTCAGCAAGCACTGGGCTCCTCATTCTGTGCCCGTCCCGCCCTCCCTGTGTGTCCTGCGGGCTGCTTGGGGGGCTGCTCCTCAGCCATCACACCCACGGGGTGGGCTGTGTGTGGGGGGGTCCTGCCCCCCAGCAGAAAAATGGGGAACCCACCTCAGGGACAAGGTTGGGGAGTAGCCCCCATGGGCAAGGATGACCCTTCCAGCAGTGCCGGCCTGGCTCTGGCTGGTTCGTGGACTCCTGAAATATTATCTGTGTTTTACTGGTGGCTGTTCTCGTCACTGGGTGGGCTGTCCACTCTGAGCTTACCTGGCTGGGTGGCTGCCCACACCAAGGCCTCAGTGGGCGAGGGGAAGAGGCCAGAGCGGTGAGGCCGACTGCAGACACCTGAGGGGAGCCACTCTTTGGTGGGACACAGAGGCTGTGGGCGCATGGGGACAGCACAAAGTCACAGAGTCCTAGGAGTGAGGGGCCGGGGGACACAGAGACTCTGCAAGTGGCCCAGGCTGACAAGATCATGAGTTTAAGAATGCGAAAGCTGATGGCTCAGAGCCAGAAGGCTCTTTTGCTGCCACCCTCTGTGGCAACGTCCAGGGAGCCTGGCAGGCTGGGAGAGGCTCTTCTGCAGCAGTCCCGGCCCCCACCAGGCGGGGACAGGCCACCAGTTCCATGCCAGCAAACAAGGAGTCACAGCTATCCCCGGGGCCCGGGTCAAGCTCTGGCCCTCTATTTGCAGTGTCTGTGCCGAACGGGCCCCGCTCGGATCCAGCCCCCTGCTCTCTGGAACCTGCCAGTCTGGTCTTGGCCTCCCTGGCATCCGCACGGGCTGGAAGCGGGCAGCTGTCCAGGGAAGTCGGGGGCACAGGGCTGGGCTGCAGCCCCGATGGGGGAGCAGTGCCCTTGGGCGAAAACAGAGCTGAACTCAGAGGCTGCAGGAAGGCCTGGCCCCCGGTGAAAGGCAGGGTGTCGGTCAGCAGGTCTGATGGGCCCACACAGGCGACTGCGGGGCCAGGCTCGGCTGGGGGCCTCCGGGCAGGGGGCCACTGTCGGCAGGAGGCTTCAAAGTGTCTCAGGATCTGAACGAGGGAAGAAGGGAATCAGTGAGGGCTCCTGTGCTCCTCCAGGAATCTCGGAGGACATGGCCCTCCCGGTTCCCTCCTCAGTGCCGCTGCCCAGAGCAGGGGGCAGGGCCGCTAGCCGCTCACAACTGTTCTCGTGTCATTCCCCCAACTGCAGTGCTGCTGCTCCCCACCCGCTGTCACACAAATGGACACTTTCCTGGCATCAAGCTGCCGTGTGACCTGCCAGAGCGGGAAAAGCCCCCCTGGTCAGGTGCCACACGAGCACCTGACACACACGCGGAGAGAACAGACGTGTCTAAACCCCCTGATCGTTCCCACTTGCCGGACTCCTGGGTCCTTCCCAGGTTTTAGAAACACCACCGTGACATGCCCACAACGTGTTTCGTGTGTGGCAGGCTCACTAGTGTTTTGGAGAAGGGCAGTTTAGGGAAGGTGACTAAGGATCTGAATCTTCAGCCACCACAGAGGAAACCAGAAGCCGAAGGATGCCGATAGCGGGCGGAGGTGCCGGGGCCTGGCTGCTGCCGAGGGGCCCCCAGCGAAGATTCCGGGTGGCCTCCCCACATTCATCTGTGGAAAGAGGACTCAGACGAACAGAACCATTTCTGTCCTCCTGGAGCTGGCGATCTGGGAGCAGAGCTCAGACCCACGAGCTGTGACCCAGAGTGCAGAACAGAGGGATAGATGCATCCAAGCATTCGAGGAGAGCTTCCCACAGGAGACGAGCCATGAGGGAGAGCGAGTCGCCCGGAGGGCAGAGCTGCTGGGCAGAAGGGCGGGGGAGCATGGGGGTCCCAGGAACGGGAAGAGGCCAGGCCCCCGACCGCTGTCCTAAGGGCATGACCTGTCCCTCCTGTCCAGCAAGGGCAGGAGGGGCGGGTCTAAGGAAGGCAGTGGAGGGTGGGGGAGACGGTGTGGGGCTGCCGAGGCGTCCTGTGCCCACTTCTCTGGGTCCCAGAGGCTGCCCACCTTGGTGGCCTTGTTGGTCACGGGTCCAGGGCTGCCCACACTGAGCTCCTGCAGCCGAGGCCGGGCAAGGAGCAGGACTCGCTCCTGGGAGAGCAGGTCGGTGCACCCGAGGGAGGCGATGGCACCCAGGGCTCTCTGCGGGTCGGGCTTGATGTCAGCAGGGTCCACCCCCAGGGAGCGCTCTCTGACCAGCTCTCTCCCTCCTCTCGGCCCTCAGCCGAGCTGGGCGGTCCACCAGAATCCCGTGCTCACTCCCCCCTCACCCACGGCCACCCCCGCTCCCCCCCCTCACCATCTGCACGCGCTCGCTGGTTGTGCCCAGGTGGCGGATGAGCAGCTCCAGCACGGCCTCACAGTTGAGGAGTCCACACCTGCATGAAGGGGGCAATGGGGCTGAGCCAGCAGAGCAAGATGGGGGCGTGTGCAGAGCCAGGGCGAGGGGTGGGGTGGCGCAGGCTGGGGGGCCTGCAGTGGGTCAGGGGCTCACTCTTTGACGAAGTGCTGCACCTCCTCTCGGCTCAGGAAGCAATGTGGCCCCCGTGTCACGGCCCGGACCAGGCTCAGCTCCTGCTGGCAGTCACTCAGGGTCACGGCCTCGACCCTGTCGGTGGCACGCAGGTCAGGAAAGAGAGTGGACTCCACCCATGCCAGGAGGGGTGAAGCCTTTCCCGGTCAAGTCTCCCCCATCGGGGTAGGACCCTGGAGCAGGACAGGGAGGGGTGCCCTGGGGTGCTGGCTCACCTTTCTGCCAGGTCGCTGGGTGCCCGGCTGGCCCCTGAGGGGCTGTCACTGCCTGACGGGCTACCTGAGTCTGAGGCCTTGCCCAGGTCGTCATTTTCCTGGGAAGAATCCTGAGAGTTTGGGCTGCTGTCCAGCTCATCCCAGCCGCCTCCGGCCTGCCCAGGCTGGTGTCTCGTGGCTGGAAGAAACAGCGATCAAGGGTAAGACCCTTGTGGGCCTCAGACTGGCCCCATGTCCATCTTCCAGGAGCCCTGGATGGGGAGACCCAGGGAAGGGCCTGGGGGCTGGGTCCCGAGATGTGGACAGGGCGGCCGCCTGGGCTCCAGCTCCAGGAAACACCAGGCAAGAGGAGATGGGGCAGAATGGGGCACATTCTGACTCAGGGCCAGGGTGGGGGTCCCGCATGGGACACGCCCGGCCTGGAAAATGCAGGAAGCAGTGCCAGGCACCAGAGGCCAGGTGGGAGGCAGGACACGCAGGGCAGCGGGCTGAGGCAGTGAGGCAGCGCCCAGCACCGCAGCTCTCAAATCCCAGTGAGCCCTGACATTCTTCCTTCGAGCCAGACAAACGTGACAGCAGCTTCTGGGAAAGGTGGAGATCACAGACAGATGCCCCTCCTTCCTTTCTTACAGCTCACCACTAGAACGCATGTGCCATGGAGCCTGGCCCCTGTGGGGGGCTTCCCTGTTGTCCCTGGGCCCTGATGGGCTGCACAGCCGCTTGAACGCGCTGGGTGAACGCACAAGAGCTGGGGCTGGGCTCCCGTCCCAGCTCAAGTCCTGCTTCTGTGTCTGAGCAGCTGGGATCCTGGGCGGATCCCGCCTTCTCGTGGGGCCCTACCACCCAAGCTCCCACCCAGAGCAGACTGACAGAGACGTCAGACAGTGCGGGGACAAGGCAGCCACCGCAGAGGCCCCAGGGAACTCGAGTCGTGTGGGCGGCTGGCTCTGTGGGGGTTCCCATGTGGCCAATGGAGCATGCTGGCTCTGAGAGATGTCGTGGGACCTGCAGGGTGTGGCTCGTACCCCCTCCCACCATGGGTGGGCTGCTTTCTCCCTCCTCCCCCATCAGCTCCGGCCTGGCCCGAACAGGTGACAGGAAGCCCAGGGCCTTGGGAGGGGGAAGCCAGACCCCTCCAGGGGAGGAGTCTCGCTGGATACCTCGGGCACCTGGGCCGGCTGTGGGGAGAGGGTTCCCGGGGGTTGGAGGGCCGAGGCCGGCCGGCTGGTAGGCGTCACCTCGCAGAAGGGACCTCTGGGAGCTGGGGCTCTCAGGCCCAGGGCACATGGCACTGGTCACCACCTCTGCGGCCTTCTGGACGGTGGACAGGAAGGCCTCGCCCGCAGAGCCTGCACCAGAGACAGAGAGGAGATGGCATAGCCCCTCTCAGTCCTACCCCGTTTTCCCAGGATGAGGTACCCCGGCCTACTCCCCACCCAGGACTTGGGAGCAGGACACAAGCTGCAGTCAGAGAGCAGAGACCGTGTGGAGGGACAGGGCCCTTCCGGAAGCTTCTGTGGTGAATTCACTTCAGTGCATCCTGGCCCCGTGGAACCTGGACGCTCGGCAGCTTACAGCAAAGCTGTGTCGCTGGGCCCCCTGGGTCCCCGCCTCGGAGCAGGGGGCCACCTAAGGTGCTTGTCCTGAGAACCACAATCTCCGCGGCTGCTTAAGGAGTGCTCACGCCCAGGGCTGGAGCCTTCCCACGAGTGCCCCACGGAGCGTGATCCGGCGGCCACCCCCAAATTAGGAACAGGTGGGGCCTCTGAGGCAGACCCACTTTAGGAATTAGAAGTGCCAGGGAACTGGGAGCCGTGACCACACAGTCAGCACAACAGCTTGACACGGCCCAGAGCCCGTGAGAGGCGTACGTGGCCCTGCTGGGGCCTCAGGCTCTCCCAGCAAGCAGGGCCGGCACCGGGCCTGCTCTAAATCACCTCTGTCACAGCCGGGACCACCACCCTCTGCCCTTGGCTCCTTGAAGGAGCCAGCGCTGGGGGCCCGAGTGCAAGGCTGACCCTCAGCCTGGCTGCTCACCTGTCGGTTAAACAGAGCCAGCTGTACCTGTCCTGCTGCCCCAGGGTGGGAGGGAAGTCAGTCGGGGGGCGCACAGGCCCCGCCCACCCCTCGCCCAGCCCCTCATCCCCACAGCACTCACCTGTGTGGCCCCGTTCCTTGCTGTAGCCGAAGCCCTGTAGGGAGCTCTGGGGCCTGGACTGGGAGCCCATGCCTGTGGGGAGGCCCACGTCAGCAGCAGCGGGGACCCGCACCCTCAGTCCCGGATACTCAGGGGAGGAGAGGCCATGAGCCCCCGCAGAGTGGAACCTGGTGATGGGGCTGGACGTACTTGCATACCTGCTGGAGGCAGGGCCCTGGGTGGCTGGGAAGGAGGCAGAGGTGACAAGGTGTCCGAGAACAAGGCAGCCCCCAAGTCCTAGGCAGAGGCAGAGGACACTCAGCACAGCCACACGCCGCTGTCCTCCCGCCCACCCCTCTGCTCTGCACCCCTGTCCCCTTCTCATCTGAGGGCCACACACAGGGGCTCCCGTCCCGCAACAGGAGTGGAACCAGAGTCCCGGGTGGGAAAAGCAGGGAGAGACCTGGGTCCTGGGCTCACCTGGGCGGCTGCCCGCACCTTCTGGTACAAGCTGTTCCCATGGAGAGGATCCGGGGGTCCCGTGAAAACTGCGGGACAGGGGCAGAGGGGAGCAGAGCTGAGCTGGGCTATGCCAACCACCCCGAGGGGCCCAGCCTCAAAGCCCACCCCCGACACAGGTGGTGAGCCTCGGCCCCGCCCAGCCCCCCATGACGCCCCTGCTCAGCACCACCCCCCAAGTCCCTGGGGGCTTCCTAAAGCACAGATGCACCACCGTCCCCAGGCCTGAGGTGGCTATGCCCTCACAACCCCTCGGCTCCCCGTGGCCCACACCCACAGCGGTGAGGCTGCAATCCAACCTCCAGAACATCAGGGGCTGCATCACTCCCTGACCCCACTGCCGCCCCCTGCCCGAGCTCCTGCACCCGCGGCCTAACTGCCTCTCCTCAACCCCTTCTCCACCCAGAGGCAACCAGAGGGGGCTCTTGTCCAATTCAAAACACTTAGAGCTTCCAGGGGCTCAAAAATGATAAAACTCAAGTTCCTTACCATGCCTGAAAAGTCTCCTGCTCATAAAACTTCAGATGTGGTGAATTAAATAAGCTTAAATCTCATTAAACCACTCGCGGGCTCTCCCTGCTGCAGGGCCCTTGCACTAGCTGGAGGACACCCTTATGCCTGGCTCCACCTCATCCTTTCAGAGCTGAGAGGAAGAGCAGGGCCTCTCTGTTTCCTCTGTCCAAACACATCTCACTTTTCACCCATCTGGTGCTGTCTCCACCCTGGCACGCCAGCCCTGGGGTGTGCACACCATGGCCCTGCAACCAGGTAGGGCGGGCACCTCCCTGCTGTCGTGCCACAGCTTCCACCCTCCCTGTGGGGCCCAAGCCTCGAATTGCAGGGGATCCCCGCCTAGCCTCCAAAGTAGGGCCGTCCTCTCTGTGTACCTTCCTGCTCCCAGCACCATCTCTTCTCACAGCCTGTGCAGGCCTATCTGGGCACCCGTCCTCTGGGGGCAGTGCTCAGAGCTCAAGAGATTTTGGTGCCAACAGAAAACCACGGTCTGCTGTCCCTGTTCTGCTTCATCTGCCCTCTTTGGAGACCAGGATAGAGGTGACATCTGGCACCAGCCACGGTCACATGAGCTGCCCAGCGGGACAGGCCCATTCTGACCAGCTGGCTGGCGAGCGTGGACCAGCCATGCTGCTTCAGTGCACGAGCTCCGGAGAGCTGAGCTGTGACAAGTGCACCCCCAGCCCCCTGGATGCCTCTGGGCATCTGCTGAGTCATGGTCTGTGCCCGCTTCAAGGCCATTCCCTGTCTCCAAGGCGCTGGCATAGTGGCCCGGGGCCCACAGGCAGCCCAGCCCCACCCCGGCCTCAGTCCTGCCTGCAGTAAAGGGGGGACAGTGGATTTGGGGTGTGGGTGGGATAAGTCCCAGCACCTGGCGGGTGGGACTCACACGCTAACTGCTGAGGGTCTCCTGCAAGCAAGCAGTGGCCAAGGGACTCAGTCCCCTCCATGGCATTGCCCTCTCAGGAACAGCTTGGCAGGGTGGGTTCTTGCCTGAGCACCAAGGCCTTCCTGTTCAGTTTGCCCCACCCAAGGAGATCTCAGGCCATGTCCCCGCAAGTCCTTGTTAACAAGAGATGAGAGACGCACGGACACCTCCGGCCTGGGGGCGGGTGAGTGATGGGGCTCCACCCCAGACCCACCTGTCGCCTGGATCACGACAGGCCAGAGCCCCACCTCTCCTGACGGCCTCACCAGTCCCGTCCTCCCACAGCCCTTCCAACAGCAGAAGGCTTACTAGGGCCCTGAGGAGCAGCCCTGGGGAGAAGAGAGAGCCCATGGCAGGGATGGCAGTGCAGACGCTTGCCGAGCGCCCACCGTGTGCAGGGCACAAGGACAGGAAAGGTCCAGGCCGCAAGGGCCTGGCAGGGCTCACGAACAGACACCAGTCATTCTGTACAGTGCGGTGAACACAGGGGAGGAGCAGGGGGCTAAGCGCAGGGAGGGCTTGGAGGAGCCCCCAGCTGAGCTGGCCTGGCCTCCTGCGGGGAGGAGGGAAGGGTCCGGCACAGAGGTGCTGGCAGCAGAGGACAGGGTGGACAGGGCACAGGGTGGGAGCATGAGTAAGGGGTGGGGAAGCGGGGGCCTGGGTTAAGGGATCTGGCCAAGACCTGCTCTGGCCACCCTCCTCCCTGCACCTCCGTTGGGTTGTGCTGGCGCCGTACCCGCGGCTTCCTGGATGAAGGCGGGGTTGCGTTTAAGGATGAGCAGGAAGGACGAGGAGCCATGACCACACAGGTGCAGCATGATCTTCAGTACCTGGGGGAGCAGGCACGTGGGGCAGAGCTGGGCCCAAAGAATGGCACCCCTCCCGACACAGCCACTGCGCCCCCGGCTCACCCCTCCCCTCCAGCCTCACCACCGGGGGCCCTAAACTAACCCCCAGGAAGGTCTGTGGAGCCGCTCACGGACTCACCTTGAGCTTCACGTGGCCAGAGCCGCTCTGCAGACGGCTCAGCAGGTACTCCAGGAGGCACTGGCTGCTGCCCAGGGACTCGTGGGAGATCTCTGGGAGGTGCTCGGTTAGGGAAGGGGCGAGCTGACCCTGGGCCGCACAAGGCCACTGGCCTGGGAGAGAAGCCAGGCCTTCCTGCCACATGCTCCTCAGTGTGTCCCCCCAACAGGCGCCCACCCCAGGCCCTGGTTTTAGGAGCATCAGGCTTCTAGGGTTTCCTGAGCCTCATATCATCAGTAGTGCGGCTTTCAGAGCCCGCTCACACCTGGCTACTATGGTAAAGGAGCCGTGGCCCGCTCAGGGTAGAAGCCCAGGAACCCTGCTCCAGGGCCCCCACGTGTGTCCACAAGGAAGGATACTGGCGATCTCCTCAAACAGGTAGCCTGGACACGGGACGTCGTCATCCGACGTTCCCTTCAGGAGAATCGGGAGCTGAAAGGGAGGGAGAGCCCTGCCCACAGTGAGTGGCCATGCACACAGGGGGCCCCCGGCCACGAAAGGGGCCACCCATTCCTGAGAGGGGCCACAGGAGCCCTCGTTCTCGGGGCACCAGTCTCCACACATCTCGTTGTTGGCATGCCACAGGGTGAGGGGACCCAGAGAGGGCAGTTATGGTCCTACTGGCCACAGGAAGCCTGCAGGAGCCTCCCTTGTGGAGGTCACGATGAACACCTAGGAAGAGGAAATGGGTGGTGGTCTCCATGGTGACGGGCCCTCTGGGTCAGGATTCGGCATGGCCCCCAGACCCCTATGCTTACAGCCGCACAACTTAAAACCACCTTTAGTTTACCTACTTACTGACTGGCAAAAAAAAAACAACAAAAAACAAAGCCCTTGGGGTCAGCCCCCTTCCCACTTCCCACACAGGGAACTGGGAAGATTACATTTTTCTGGAACACAAATCAGCAAAGTGACATAACCATTCAGCCTGACCGACCCACAGCTCCACTTCTATGAAGGGACTCCACGGAAACAACCCAAAGCAAGAACAACCTACTTGGTTGTGTGTCTCACGTTTACCTGTTAGCAGAAACGCCTTTACATTAAGAGCTGACTCAGCACAAAGACGTATAGCTTATAGGGATAAAAACCAGAAACACCCGTTCCACATCACTGAACATCTGGGGGGCACGAGCCTCAGTGTAGACAGACTTCAGGTGCACTCTGGGAGGTGCTGGCCACAGATACGGTCTGCCTGAATGTCGCACGAGGCTGTGTGTGTACACACTCTTTAGCTATTTGTCCACCAAGACCCAGAGGGGAGCTGGCAAGGTCTGCAGAACCGTAGAATGCTTGGCACGTAGCGAAATCTCTGCTCAAAGAGAACTGACTGGGCTTCTGGCAGCACGAGGGTGAACCGGGAATCCCCCCACCCCCATCCCCACCGCCTGTCTGAGGAAGCTCGAGGTGCCAGGAGAATTTACTGGTTCAAGGTCATTTCAGAAGCATTTTCTAAGAAGGACCTACAATTGTGAACACGGAACTCCTACAACTCGGGAGTATGTTTCTCAAGGACCTGCAGGCCACTCCTCTAAATGTAACCACCAGGAAGGACAAGGCCTGTCTTCCAGTCGCTACTGGACGATGGGATCCTAGCTTCTGTAACCACCAGCTATCAGCACAGCAGCCGGTATCCCGTGGACACTGCCCAACTGCCTATAATTTTTCACTTGAGCTCCACCCTTCCCTCCTTCTGTCCTGAAAACTCTCAGTCCTCTCTGCACAATTTGGAGTGGAGCTCAGGGCTTCCCCCACTGCCTGAGCCACTGAATAAAAGGTTTTCCCCCGTTTCCCGGACCAGTGTCTGGTTGTGTTTATCTTAGACAGGATTTGGGGTCACTATGTTTCCTTTTCTGTAAAGCTATTGATGCTTTAAGTTGGGTAAGAGAACAAAAGTTGGGGTCCCACAGCTCTCTTCCTCAACTTGGATTTTGTTCAAGGCGGTCTCACTGTCCCCAGTGGACCTGACACACGGGTGGCCTGACCCGCCCCCTCGACGTACGTGCTGTGGGGTCCCCCAGCTTTGGGAGGGGCCGAAGAGTAGGAGGGGAGAGGAGGAGGGGTCTGGGGTGTAGGAGGGGACGGAAAGGGGTGGAAAAGAGTAGAGAGAACAAGTGGGAGGGGCCGGGGGACGACGGAGGGGACGCCGAGCTCAGGAGCAGCCGGAGAGCCCGGCGCGGGGACGCCGCGAGGGTCGAGCGGAGCCAGGGAGGCGGCCGACTCGGGCCGGGGGCGAGGCCAGGAGGCGGCGCGCGGCGGGGCCGGGGCCGGGGGCCCCCCCCGCACTCACCCGGTGCAGGAAGCTCAGGCGGTCCCGCAGCGGCACCGTGGCCGCCATGGTGCCGGTCAGCTTCCGGCCCCGCCCAGCTCCCGCCAGGTCCGAGCCCCTTCCAATAACTGCGCGGGTCTGACCCCGCTGGCCAATCACTCGCGTGAGGCGGGCCCTGCGGCTGACTTCGGGAAACAATTTGCACGTGAACCAATCCAAAGTCCAAGGACAAAGACAGACAAAACCGCGAGCCAATTGCAAGGCTCTAGAACACCAGGAGCGGTTCCGGAGGAGAGGCGGAGGCGAGGGCTGAAGCCTGGCCAATGACAAAGCGCAAGAAAGGTTGTGGGCGGAAGCGCCGCCCTATTAAGCTGTTGGGTGCCGGAAGAGGCTGGACCTAAGATGGCGGCGCCCGCGGGTGCCAGGAAGAGCTGCTCATGTCGGGGAACGGAGCGGTGTGGGGTCGCGTGCGAAGCCGCCTCCGCGCCTTCCCCGATCGCCTGGCGGCCTGTGGGGCCGAGGTGCGGAGTCGTCAGCCGGGGCAGGAAGGGCCGCGCGGGGCGGGGTGCGGGCTGGCGGGGTGGTGGTGACTGGGGAGCGGCGGCGGGGTCTGCCCGGGTAACCGGCGGGCGTGGGGGCCGCCGCGACCCTCGCCCGTCCCCGTCCCGCCCCCAGGCCGCGGCCTACGGCAGGTGCGTGCAGGCGTCCATGGCCCCGGGCGGCCGCTTGAGGAAGGATCTGTGCGCGCAGGAGTTCGAGGCCTTACGGAGCTGCTTCGTTGCCGCGGTAGGTGGGCGCCGGCCCCGCCCGGGGAACGGACCCTGGGAGGCTGGCACCCACGTGCTTGCGCGGGCCCTCCGGCTTCCTTTTCTTCTGGGGGTGGTGTTGGGCGCCAGCAAGTGCTTCAGACGCGGCACATCCTCCATCAGCCGGCGCGACCCCCGCCGCCATGGAGCGCGCGTGCCAGTGTCCGTCAGTTTGGGGGAGCACCGCTCTCAACGTGTACCCGCCAGTGCCTTGTAACCCTTTGCGGGACTGTTGGTGGGGGGTGGGGGGTGGGGTGGGGGTCCCGGCCCCTGCTGTCTTAGTTTCTCTGGTGTTTAGGACCCCACGTGTGTGCTGTGCGTGGGCAGTTGCAACCGGGCACCCCGACCTCCCCTTCCTTTCGACTACCCCATTTCACAGAGGATGAAAGGAGAAAAAACGAGTGTATCTTAGGTTTGTTGTCATGACCAAGGTTACAGAGGCTGAGAAGTCCCCCACCCAGCCGCGCTGGTTGGTTCTCACTGGCGCAGAAGAGGGCTGTGGTGACAACAGTGTGTTCCTTCTCTTGGCTCTGGACTCAGTTCTGCCTCTAACCCTTCTGTAACAGGTGGTTTCTGTTTCTGAGCTGTGGCGTTTTCTGATCCTCATCTGATCAAATGCTATGCCAGTGAAAATAGACACCGTGCACAAGTAAAGATCTATGGTGTTGTGTTGATGCATTTATTGTAAAGGATGGGGAGGAAGTAGGGTCGGAAGAGACCCACACTGACTGAGAGAGAGGAGCTCTCTGGGGAACCGAGATGGGAGTTCCAGCCTCTCAAGAGGAGGGTGTGGAGACCGCCTGTAATGAGGCTTTAACACAGGGTTTGGAGCTGGTGTCATGGCCTTGGGTGCCCCTGACCCAGTGGTCAGCTGTTTGCCAGAACTGCGTATCTCGAGAACTGGACCCAAGAGGGGGCAGTTGGGTCAGCCTGGCAGAATTCAGGGAATCCAAGGCAGTTTCCTGATGTTCCAGGATGGCTGAGAATGCGTGGGCTATCCCTCATTTCCTGGAGGGCTCAGAGAACTCCTTGCACCTTCCTTGCCATCGTTGTGGCTGGGACATGTGGCCTCAGCCCTTGTCACCAACCTCTGATCCGACGTGTGCCCTTCACCCAAGCTGCATGTGTCCCTTGGACTTGCTTCCTGCCTCTTGGCAGCTTCCCTGCTTAACTTAGAGTGTTCCCTCGGGGAGGGGACAAACCTTCATTCTGTGGTCACTGGTTGGAAGGATTCACATGTGAGGTAAAGATCACACACTTCTGGCCACGCTAGGCTTTCCTCTACCGCCAGTGGTTAGTCAGGAATCACCCATTACAGGTGTCTGGTCATCTGTGATTCCTTACGCTCCTTTGCCTCTGTCACGTCGTCCTGCCCCCGGGAGCATGTCGCTGCCTCTCGTGCCATTTTCCCCTGAGGGTGACCTAACTGCAGGCCCTGGGCACTGGAAGCTCAGAACAGGGAACCTAGGGGTTTCTCACCTAAGAACACAAGCCGGTGAACGCATTTTTGCCCACTCTGCCTGGACCCTGAGACTCCACGGGGCTGAACGAGGAGGCAGAGGGCTCTGGGTGCCACTTCCAGCTCCGTCCCTGGGAGCCCTGTCCCTGGGCAAGTGTTTCAGCATCTCTGACCTCAGAGTTTCCGCTACAGGGGGAAAACTAAACGTTACTTGTTGGTGCACAGTGCCTGGCACGGGTGGGTGTGGCTTTGAGGCCACAGAGCAGGTTGAGCTCCGTGGCCTGTGGAGGTGGGAGCAGAGACCCAGCCCCAGGGGCCCCCTGCTGCACATCCATGGCCAGGCTCTTTGTATTTGCCAGAAGATGGCATTTGGTGTGGTAGTTTTCTTACTTTAGAGCCATGTCTAACTTGAAAAGAACTCATTCAGACAAAGAACTTTCTCTTCCAGGCCAAGAAGACCCTGACAGGAGGGCATTAGGAAGGACTGCGAGCTCCACCTCACGTCCCCGGGTGTGTGGTACTGCTGGCCCCGAGGGGCAACTGTCTAAAACCTCAGAAGCTCTTGAGGCTAAAAGGACCGGAAACAACGTTACGCGAGTGCGGGCAGAGGGGAATGGGTTTTCCAGCTTTGCTCACTTAAGGATTCAGGGGAGAATAAGATGAAGTGAACCCACAATAAAGACCAGATCAGATGCTATAAGATCTATTTTGTCGTCTGCAGGGTGAGCGCGTGGGCCATAGAAGACCCCTGCCTCTCGAGTCTCTCTCTCTCTTTTTTTTTTTTTGTGGTGCGCGGGCCTCTCACTGCTGTGGTCTCTCCCGTTGCGGAGCTCAGGCTCCGGCCGCGCAGGCCCAGCAGCCATGGCTCATGGGCCCAGCCGCCCCGCGGCATATGGGGTCCTCCCAGACCGGGGCACGAACCCGCGTCCCCTGCATCGGCAGGCGGACTCTCAACCACTGCACCACCAGGGAAGCCCGAGTCTCATTTTTTAAAGAACTCTCACCAAAGGCGTGTCGTCTGAGTCTAGCGAGGCCTCTAGAAGTAACTACCAACTTACAGCACGGACCAAAGAGAGAAGAGCGACACCGCGAGGGGAAGGTACCCGCTGTAGGAATCTGATACTGCTGGGTTTTTCACACTTGGAGAGGAAAAAAGGTGGGGGTTGCTCTTCCAGACTAAGGCGTGAGTCGAGGGAGGGTCCGGTTTAGGAACCCAGTAGTGAGACCCTCCCCATGGGGTTTCCTACCCACCCTTCTGCAGCCTCTGGAGTCCAAGCCCAAGCCCATCCCTGCCAGGCTCCTGCTGGCTCTGGTTCCACCTGTCATCCTGAGATTAAGGTTAGGCCGCAGCAGCACCCCTCCCAACATGCACATGTGCAGTCCAGGGAGACCTGACAGGACCCTGGTGCCACGGCCTGAAGATTCCAAGGTCCTGAGCACCGCCTGCTGGGCGCGTGGGGACTGTGCTCCCAGAGCCCCCTACCCGGGGTGTGGAGGTCATACTGTCCTCTGGCTCCATCCAGGCCCTGGCGTCCCAGAGCCTCATGCCAGGGCACCCTCGCCCTGAGTCCTGGAGCTGTTTCCTCTTGTAAACGCTCCTCCAGAATCAGCCCTACTTTCCCCCAGGTGGTGAAACCCCTCATCTCTTTTTTTTTTTTTTTTTCACCTTCTCTCATGATGCTTTGCTGTCTTTCTCTCATGTTTTTTCACTGGCCTCCTGATTTCATGATTCTATAGCTATTATACAACCTGGATAATAAAACAGATATTAAATCTTTAAGAAGAAGATCTTTCAAGAATCAGCATGGCAAAGTAATTATGAATGAGGGCCCTGGAGCCTGAATATCTGAGTTCATATTCTGCCTCTAGCATTTACTAGCTGTGTAATTTGGGGTTCGTGCCTCAGCAGCACAGGCTCCGGACGCGCAGGCCCAGCGGCCATGGCTCACGGGCCCAGCCGCCCCGCGGCATGTGGGATCCTCCCGAAACGGGGCACGAACCCGCGTCTCCTGCATCGGCAGGCGGACTCTCAAGCACTGCGCCACCAGGGAAGCCCGAAACCCCTCATCTCTTGAGACAGCATCCCAGTGAGATGCAGTTCCCAGGGAGGCCTCGGAGGGGAGCCACACGCTGTTCAAGGGCTTCAGGGCTGTTAGAAACTGTCCCACTGGGCAGTCACATGTCAGTCAACACTGGAATTCAGGACTAGACACCGATGACACGACCCCCATCCCTGCCAGGGGTGACGGACCCACAGATAGGCTGAAGGCTGGGGGGAGGAGTGGGCCTCCCCGCTTTGGCGTCCACCTGGACCTAGCGTCTGCCCAGCACGTGCTTCCGGCCTGAGGATGGCCTTCTCTTCCTGATCCTTCGTGACCTTTGACAGCCTGCTGGCTAGGGCTTCCAGCATCTCTGCTGGGCACAGGTGCTCTGGCCCCTTCCAGAACTGTGCCGCTGTGTGCTCACTCCTGCCATCCCTTCAGACTCCAGTTCTTGGAGGCAGATGAAGCCGCCACCTCACATCTCAAGCCTAGGGCTGTGGATGTGGTCCACTGACGGGGCCAGGCCGCTCACCACACACTGAAGTCACCTTGCAGGTCTCCCCGGCTCGCCTCCCCATACTCAACCTGTCTTCAAGACTGTGCTTATTGAAGGGAATTCAACCAAGTTGTGTCAGGACGCAGGAAAGATGGTCTCTGCTGCTTCTGCAGCTGCGTCCCCATGAAGAAGTCACCCCATGCGGCTCTGTACTCTCCACCTGTCCTGACCTTAGGCCGAGAGCTCAGCTGCACCAGTTGAGGCAGTATCCAGCCTCGGCCTTGGCTTATTCCTACACTGGTCTGGGCTCAGTGGCCCTGCTCTCGAACAGGAGCATGGACAGGGTGCTGTCCCAGTCACCCAGGCCAGCATGGCCCCGTGTCTGCCAAGTGTAGCTGCCAGCACAGAAGGTCGCCCACTGGTGGCCCAGCGTGCTGCTCTGGCTGGGACCCCTGGCCATACCTGCCAGCCATGGGACCCAGATGGAGGAGTGGTCTGTGGCCAGAAAGCAAAGCACTGTCCCGGGGCCCTTCCTAGCTCCCTGCATTACTGGAAATGGTGACCCCACCCAGAGGTCTGCCCAGATTCTGGGGAAGATTCGGGTTCCTTTCCCAAGGGGCTGCCAACTGGGGAGGGAAGTGAAGCTGAAAGCCAGGAGGAGAGAACAAGCGTTAACTGGGACAGAGGACCCTGAGTGTCAGGGTGTGTGGGGATGGCAGGCCGCAGCAAGAGGCCCTGCACTGCTGCTCTCACCCTAGGCTCGGGCCGCCCTGCTGCTCTCACCCTAGGCTCGGGCCGCCCTGCTGCTCTCACCCTAGGCTCGGGCCGCCCTGCTCTAAGGAAGAGGTTATCTTGGCAGAAGGAGCAGGAGGGCGCTGTGGCCTCCAGAGGACACGAACACTGGGTCAAGGTAAGGCGTTCAGGTGGAGAGGGCTGGAAACAAAGTCCCACTACGAGACCTTAACAAATGGAGTTCCAACCTGAGGGAAACTTCCACTGAGCACAGTTTGTTTGGAATTGCTTTTAGTTAAGAATGGAGGGTGGGAAGCACTGAGACCCGGCCCCCTTTCACAAAGCTTCCCTCTATGTGAGCAGTGCCCGGGGTTCATGGGGAATCAGCTTGGCCTCCAGAAGATTCCACTCCTTTTATTACTCATTTCTAGTCTTCAAGATGACACAGAAATTTCAGAAGGCGCAGGGGAAGAGTGTGACCTGAGGCCGAGGCTGGAGCCGCCACATGCCCTGGGCACCCCTGGCCAGTGGTCAGCAAGTGGCCCACTCATGGACCCCTCGGGGCAGGGTCTGGAGCTGCCCGTACCCCCAGAGGGCAGCGAGGCACACACAGCACAAAGCAGGTGAAGGCCCCGGGCTCGCAGCGGGACGGCCTGGCATACTTACCGGGTCACCTGCTGACCAGCCTCAGGGGTCGGGCGTGACCATCAGCCTTTCTGCCCCTTGAGAACAAAGTACAGCACGAAACACCACAACCCTCCCAACAGATGAGCAGGTGCCAGGGGTGCAGACTCGGGAGAAGCTGCCCCGGAAGAAGTGAGAAGCTGCCTCTGCTGGCTGTGTACTCCCACCCCCGACACCTGCGGGTCTGGCACCCAGCTGAGGCTCTGAGCACATGTCACTGTGGAGTTTGACGGTCATGGCTTATGTCTGTGGTACGGGGTCCTCTGGGTGATTCACCTCCAACACCAACCGCGCTAACCAGACGTCGGTGGTGTGTTTTGCTTTTTAAATCTCACAACCCCTCGATCGGGAGACCAGAGTGTGCAGAGCAGAGCCGAGGGCGGAAGCAGTTGGACTCACAGGCCTGCCCAGCCTCTGACACTTGAAGCGGCGTTTGCCGTGAGGAAGGGTGGAGGCAGAAGCGTTTCCGCAGGTTCTGTGTGACGCTCAGAGAACATCAATAAAGAAAGCTCAGGGTAACAACAGCTGTGTGGTCGGTGGCCAGTCATGTTTCCTGGGTCTCAGCAGCGGCTATTTCTCCTTGAGGCCACTTTCTCTCCCGGTGGCCTCAGGGAGCTGAGTCACTGGGAAGTGTAAGAGGAGAGAGGGACGGCAAAGCTGGTTTGGAAGCAGGGTGCAGCTGGAGAGCTGTCAGACTCCACCCTGGGCCTGACTTCCAGGACTTCGTGCCCACCGTGGTCCAGGTTCGCCGGCTGACAGGGAGCACTGTGGCCTTAATGGGGCTCAGGGCTCCTCCAGGGCCCCGAGCAGCTGTTTGATCTGTCGGCCTGGGACGACTCGCAGGGCGCCCCCTGCGGCCTGGTGCAGCTGGGTCTCCAGGGCACTGCGGAGGTCATTGACCTGCACGTCAGGCAGGGGGTTGAAGCTGATGATGACCCCATCCTTTGGGGCTGGCCCCGCCTCTGCATGAGGAGCCACGTCCCGCCGTCTCCTCCGAAGGTCAGAGCCCGCCTGGACTTTCAGGTCTCGGTTGGGTTTGGCGTTGTCTGGCTTCTGATCCCCCAGCATGGCTGGCTTGGGCCCGAGCTCAGGGTCCGGCCTCTGCTTGGGCTCTTGGATGGCGGCATCCTCCCTGGGAGCGGGCACGTGCTCCTTCCTCGCCTCCTCATGACCGTCCTGCTGCCCGCCCTGCCCTCTGGCAGAGACAGCCCGTTGTTCCGGCTGATGTAACACGGCTTGGGCCCGAGGGGCTGCTCCCCCCGACCTGCTGGACAGGCCTCCGGGTGCCCGGTCCTGGCTTGCTTGCTGGGACTTTACCTGAGGGGCTCCAACTGCTGCTCCCGCCCCCAGCACATCTGCCTCCTGAGCGTCTGTGCCAGTGGCTGCCTTCTCCTTTCCAGACTTCTTGCTTTCATGGGAGCCTCCACCAAAAACATTCCGACTCTGCCGGGGGACGTCTCCTGCGCCGTGCTGCTCGGGGCTCCCGGGTGCCCTGGCGGGGTCCAGCACAGGGACCCGCTCCTGCATGCCAGTGTCCATGGCCTCGGGCACAGCGCCCCGCCGGCCTTCCCTCGGCTCAGCCTGGGCTGCCCGGGGCTGCAGGTCAGCGCCGCCAGGAGGCGCAGCCGGGGCTCTACCCAAGGCCCCCTCGGGCTTCTCCACAGAGTGTTGGCTGTGCCCCTGGGGAGGAGCGGGGGGATGCCCAGGAGCACCGGGCACAGCTCCCAAAGGCTGTGGTGGGGGATGCTCTGCCATCCCCACGGCGTGGGCCTCCTGCTCCTTATCTCTGGGCCCGGCCACCCCCAGCTCAGGCTGCATGTCCGCTGCAAATGAAGTCAGTCACCGGTTTAGCCACAGAAATGAGCAGAAGCTACCAATGCAGAGACTAAAAGAACCCAGCTTGCCAGCAATCAAGGAATACGAACCACAGCTTAAATTTGCCCAGCAGGACTCTAGGCATGGAGCCACAGACCCAACTGTGCAGGGACCCCCGGAGACTCTGGCGTTTGTGCACTAAGTGACAACCCCTCTTCCCCGAGCAGATGCAGCAACTGTCCCCTGCCCTGCAGGCCTGGCCCCCTCCCCCTGCCGCCTCCCCCGGACTTGCCGTCCTCGCCGTCCTGGCCGTCCTGCCTCTGCTGGTGGATCTCCTTATGCTGCTCTTCGATCACTGCAAGCAGCTTCTCCTGCTGGTCCAGGAGGCGCTTCTGCTGCACCTGCTGTTCCTTAATCACTTGCAACAGAACAGCATGGTCCAGCATCTCCGCCCGGCCAGCTTCTGGAGTTCGGAAAACACACGCAGTCAGAGCCTGAAGGCTGCAAAGGCGCTCTGCTGGGCCGAGGGTGACGATGCATGCAGCAATGCCAAGGCGGCCTGTGGGCCCCTCCCCGGTACACCACCCCCGGGCGTTCCTCTCCACCCGGCTGAGCTGGCGCCCAGGCCACCCTGGGGCACAGCCATCGCCTCTCTCCAGCGACCAGACACCCTTCCTACTGCTTCACTCCCACAGCGGCTCAGGGGTTATGAGAGCCAAGAGAGAGGTCATGCGCCATAACCACAATGATGGTGATCTGGGCTGGGTGACATGAACTATGAAGTACTCTAAAAAAGAACATCGGTGCTTTAAGAAAATTTCCTCCAAGGTGTGAATTTTAAAAACAAACAGAACCATCTTCCTCTTCAGCAGAGACAAGAGCTAGGACCTCAGTGAGACGGGGGCTGTGACAGTGCTCCCACTGGCCCCACCTCCCCCAGGAAGATGGCTGCAGCTGGCACAGGAAGAGCGCCAGGTGAGCTAGGGGCAGGCCGGCTGCAGCAGGTGTGTGTAGGAGGGCCCCCCACAGACTGTGGACCAAGAGGAGGCCCCAAGGCTGGACACCTTGGGTGCGGAGAGCTCCCACTGCACTACAAACACCTCAGCGCTGGGTCAGTTCTTTACAGCCAGCAATCTGGGTTTGAGTAACTTTTACAACACAGCTTCCTGTCTTTAGACAGGAAGCTTTGAAAGATGATGTAACTGTACAGGTTGTCAGATGTAAAAGCTCAAATCCAAAGAAAGAAGAACATTTTGTGAGTGGTGAGAGCTAACACCCCAGCGAGGGCCCTGAGTGCCGGGCACATGCAGATGTGCTGACTTGTCCTCCCCAACGGCAATCTGTGACCCGCCAGAATAGAGTGGGCTTGGCCTTCTGTCAGGGACTGCCATGGCTTCTCCCCTGCAGAGGCCGGTGCCAGGACATACAGGTGGGCAGGCCCATGAAGAACATGCTGAGGCCGACCACGGGGAGGACAGGCCCCTCGGCCAGCCCAGGCGCTCCAGCCCCCTGCTCCCCACCAGGCACACATCCAGACACCCTAAGGTGACCAAGATGCCTGCCTGAGAAAGCCCATGTTCCGTAGATTGGCTTGCGGCTCCGCACACCCCCTTTAGACAAGGGATGTGCACAGTGCCATCCCACAGGGTTCTAGACCAGCTCCCTTGGCCATGGCCATGCTGTCACCCTGGGTGCCTGTGGCTCATGACCACCTAACGGTCCCATGTGCTGCCAATACCGCCTGTCCCCAGGGAGGGTTCCTGAGGAGCAGACCGCCTGCCTCACTGGCTCCTTGGAGGACCAGCCCTGGACTGAGGCTGGAGGAGGGGGGAAGTGCGCCATGTCCAGCCAGAAGCAACATGTGACAGACGTGAAGCAGAGTGGAGGTGACAAACTGAGCTCCCAGCCAGAGCCCCGCATGTGGCTCTGGGTTCCTGCCCGGCCCACCAGGACCACGGGGACCAGGCTCGTGGATGGGATGAGAGCTGCATGGATATTAACATACGTGCAGAGCACATTAATACCAGGCCATGCACATGGCGGAAGTCACACACAGGCCCCGCCCCGTCTCTGGGGGAGCCCAGGCGCTCACAGGCTGCACCTGGCTGTCCTCCGGTGACAGTGGAGCCCCAGCAGGGCTAAGAGGGACCAGGGTGTCTGTACAAGAAGGGAGTGGGCTGGGGCATCAGGGGGACCCCACCTGAGGGGCTGTGACTGAGCCGGGGTGGGGGGCAGACCGTGTGTGGCTCCCGGTCTCTGCCTCGTGCGCCCCATGCGAGGCGCTACTGGATGCGGGGCCCACACCATCTGCTCTCGCGTCTTTAAACCCCCCACAGACGCATTCACTGTGATGCTCCTCCCGACTCCTACCTGCCACCATCTTTCTGATTTCAGCTGTGCGTGTCCCATTGAGAGGCGTTTGGAGAAAGGCAGAATAGGAAACCATGAAAGTTCTTTTCAGAAAAGAAAAAGTCAAAGAATCAAACAGGCTTACGTAACAGATTATAAGTACCGGGACCAGTAAACAGACTGAAACCAAGTAACATGCGGAATTCCCACGGCTCCCGAGCTGCAGGAAACCCCAGGACCCTTGGCTCTGCCTTCCTAGCCTTGGTGTGCAGAGGTTCGGCTGGCATCCCTGCGCAGTATTCTGGGCCAGCTATCCCGAGGCTGCAGGATCCGCTGGGAAGCAGCTCATGGGGCAGCAAGGCACAAGCATCCCATGAACCCACCCAAGTCTGCTGTACCGCCATCCCCACGCACAGATCAAGACTCCCAGAGCACAGAATGAAACACCCAGGGGCCGTTCTGTGGACACTGCTACAAAATATGGTGACACCGCAGCGACTCAGATTGGGCGGGGACCAAAGAAACCAGGATGGGTGATCGTTCGCTGGGACGGCCGCCACCACCTCTAGCGCAGGGGCAGTGCCCAACCAGGTGGGCCCACGAGGAGGGTAGTCAAAAGCCAAGAGCTGGGAGCACCCCAAAATGGGCATGAAGGTATGGAGGAGGATGCAGAGCAAGTTTTGTTCACTGGAGAGAAAAGACGAGCTTTCGCTTTGGGACAGGTGCTGGGTCTTCACTGCAGGTGGACACAAATGTCCCCCCCTCCCCTACCCCTGCCCCAGCTAAGACGCAGGGGTGGGAGCCGCTGCCACAAGGTTGGGGGGAGCTAAGACAGCAGTGCGTCACCAGCCCTCCCACCCTCACTAATGCCCCCACACCGGGCCAACTTGTTGGAAATATTAACGTATCTATTTTGAAATGAGATCCAAATGGTAACAGAAAGTCACGTGACAGTGAGTTTTTTTTAAAGAGGGAGGGAAAAGGAGATAGAAAACGTTCCTAGGAAGGTGAGAAAGGAGCAGAAAAGGTTGTTAGTGGGCACGGGAGCTATTTAAGATCTTTCCGCAGCAGGAAACTGGCAAGTGTAGAGGCTGAGGCCCTGGAAAGGCCCCCAAGACAACGGGCACCTGTGGCTCCTTCCCTACATCACTCCGCTTCTGGAAGGAAAGGGCAGGTGTCTCCAGGCCCCCGGAGGATGCAGAGAGAAAGTGAAGGCCTTACCCTCCAGCTTGCTGCCCGCGTGGTCCCCGGCGTGGTCCCCGCCCTGTCCCTCCAAGGTCCTCTGCTCTCGAGGCTCTGCCTGCGGCACTGCCCCTGGGCCTGGCTTCTCCTCCGGGAGGGGAGCCTTCCCACCTGCACACACGGCAAAAACTCAGGGGGCTGGCAGGAAACTCAGAAGAACGTAGAGAAGGGACAAGAGAAGGAGGCAGATGTTTCCTAAAATCACCCTCCACGTCGCCCCTCCCTCCCCTGTGGCAGTGTATACTCAACCTGATGAGTGCCAGGGAGGTCATAAAAGATATTTAACGTGTCATAGGCTGGTGGCAGGGAGCCAGTGTTAACTAGCTTCGCCAACTAACACACAGGGACCGTCCTCAGCAGCTCTGAGATGGCACTTAACAATGCACCACCCACCCGGTCAGGCCTGCGCCGCACCCCCGTGTGTGTGCCCAGGCACCCCGTGTGTGCCCAGACACACAGGACTAGCTCAGCACCTGACGTTTACGGGTCTGGCAAACAAGTGTGTGACAGATTGATCAGAATAGCTGCCAAGCCCCCGACAGCTGCAGAAGGGCTGCTACACGCACGTGCCAATCTTGCGAGAAAAGAAAGGCAGTGGGACAGAAGTGAGGATGGTCAGCTTCTGCCCCCTCCGCAGCCTCTCCCAGGCCCCACGTGGAAGGAGCCCACACCCACCGTGCTCGTTCTCCACCAGCTTGCCCACGGTCCCCACGGCATGGCCGGGCAGCAGGGCACCGTCTGCTCTGGCCCCTGCACCTGCCACCAGGACGTCCTGCCCCTCAGGGAGCACTGCCTGGGGCCCTGGATGCACACCCCTGTCGCCCAGCCCCAGGTCCTCCTTCAGGGGCTCAACGGCTGGCTGACCATTTTCTTCTGGAACCTTCTGGAGATCTTTAGGAAGACCACCCGCTGCCTCCAAAGCCTGGTCCTGTCTGGGTCTCTCTCGTTCTGAATCCAGCAGTGGTAGCACCATCTGACCCTTGCCCCCCAGGGCCCTTTCATCCACACGTTTGGACGGAGGCTCCTTCTCCAGTCCTTCTGGGTCTTGACCTTCGTCCACCACCACCTTGTCGTGAGGGACTGGGGGTTCATGGCGGTGGGCCTCGCCCAGAGGTACCGCAACTCCTGGAAGGAGAGGGCCGAGGT